ATTCTGCTGCGTGATACTGCAGAAGAACTGATGATGGCACGGTTTGATCTTCGGCTGACCAATCAGCAGAAAGGGACGTTTAATTCCTTAAAGCTTAAAATTTAAGCTGAATTCTCGTTTTTTGTTTTTTGGAAAAAACGAAAAAGGAGCCGTTTTCTCATTTTTCTACTTTCAATATTCAATAAAAAAACGAATGATCGAATGATACACGGATTGTTGTATTTTCTCTGTTTTGTTTTTTGTTTTGTTTTGTCTTGTATTTGTTTAGATTTTTCTATTTTGTTTTTTCTGTTTAGTATTTTGTCTTGTATTTGTTTTAATTTTTGCTACATTTTTATTTATTTTTTGTTTGTTTTGTTTTGTATTTTTCTGTTTTGTTAGTTTTTTGTCTTTTAGTTTTGTCTTGTGTATTTGTTGTGTTTTTTTCGGTTTAGTTTTTGTCTTTTTATTGTTTTGTTTTTTTATCTGTTTTGTTTTTCTAGGGTGAGTAAATGGTGACAGAATTAAACATTTTAGGTGAGCTATCCTTTAAGAAACATGTGATAGGAATTTGTAGTTTCTTTCTTAAAATTGTTTGCCATATTCCTCCTCTTCACACACATTTCTCATTTTTTCAGGATGCCATAGTGATTCATGAAGTATACGAGGAGGGGGCGGCGGCGCGGGACGGTCGGCTCTGGGCCGGAGATCAGATTCTCGAGGTTTGTTTGTGTGTGTTTGAGAGAGAGAGAGAGAGAGAGAGTGTGTTGCAAGGTTGTAGAGCAGGATGCATCTGTAATGTCTCTGACAGCTGGTCTGCCTTGAGCAAAATGGAAATGTGATGTTGGTTTGAGGCTCACTATTATTGTGAATAATAAGAATAGAGAGATTTGACTAGGAGAGTTTACAATCATAAGATCTGAGCAGTGCTTCTCTGTCTTTAATTTAGACGATAGCTCCATCTTCTGGACATCGAGTAGCGTGAGCATTAGCTCTTGCTACAGTGGGTACGGAAAGTATTCGGACCCCCTTAAATTTTTCACTCTTTGTTATATTGCAGCCATTTGCTAAAATCATTTAAGTT